TCTTTCTTCGTGGCTTCTCTCTCGTGGCTCCTTGTGTGGTCTCTTGTGGTTCTCTCCCATGGCTTTTCTGTCATCGCTTCTCTGGTGCGTTATCTCATAGCTTCTCCCCGTGGCTCCTTTGTGGCCCCTTCTGCATGGAGACAGGGTTCTGCCACGTTCTCCGCCTAACTGCGTCTTTCAGTACCTTGAGCCCCGACTGGCCTCGTCGAAGTGACCGCTTTCCTCCTGCAGATGGAGACAGCTCTGTCTGGCTTTGCTTTCCTGGGGGAGGATGTCGGTGGGGGAGAGGGAAATCCCTGCTGTGGCCCAAGTGGGAAGTGGGGAGTCGGGCCCAAGACAGATGCTGGGAACGACCGTCCTTGGGGGCTGTTCCCCGGCCAGGACGGCAGGCGCCACGGAGATTCTAAATAAGGAGGACAGAAGTTGTGAAAAATCGGGCACTATCTGCCAGGGAATTTCCGAGTTTCTTCTCTGGCCTTAACAAATTACTCACGCTCACAAGACAAAGAGGGGAGGAGGGAAGGCCGGCGCGGTGGACGTCATGGCGAGAAGGAAGAGAAGGGGGGATTCTGGTCCAAGGGGGGCTCAGAGCTGAGAGCTTTGCCGCAGGAGCCCCTGCTCCGTTCCCTGCCCCCCCACCAGCCCTGCAAGTGTGACCCCCAAGCGTGCTCAGTGTGGCCCCCAAACCGAAACAAGAGACAGGAAAGCAAACAAAGGGACCCCAGGAAGGTGAAGAGGAGAAAGCTGACCGGCTGCCTACAGGCAAACAGGGGTCCTTCTTGCCCCAGTGACCCGGGGCCCAGAGCTGAAAATGCCACAGCCCATAAACTCCTCGAGGCCCAGACAGGTCTAAAAGTGCCCATGGACCTGCTCGCTCTGGCCAGGGGGCCAGGAAAGCGGCAGCATTACCGCCTGTTTTATTTTATTTTACTTTTTAGTGGTGCCAGGGATGGAGCCCAGGGAGGGCCTCACACATGAAAGGCAAGTGCCCCCTGCTGAGCTGTTCCACTCTGAGAGGGGTAGTCAGAGGGTCCACACACCCCTCTAACTGGCCTCAGACCCACCTGGTGCCACAAAGGCTGGGGAGGTGGCTCCCACCCGACACAGCCAGGAGAGTTGGAGGCCGAGGGAGGCACCGGGGGTCACCTCTGTGTCAGTGGGAGCCAGGTGGGAGTCTCTGATCTGCTCTACCACCATCCAGAACATTCCTCCCTTCCCCCACCACCAGGAGATTCCAGAATGGGGCCCCTGAACTTTCACCCTCGCCCAGCAGTAAAGAGAAACACCCCACACACTCACATATGCATGCACACACACACACACACACACATGCACATACACGCATATGCACATATACACACAACACACATACACACATATACACGGCACATACACATACACACATGCACACACAACATACATACACACATACACACAACATGCATACACATATACCATACATGCACATATACATAAAACACACACATATATACACATACACACAGCATATATACACATACACACATACATGCACATACACACAACATACATACACACATTACACACACACACACACACACATGAAAGGGGGATGCTAGAAGGCCAGGGATGGGGGAACCTGGCTTCTCTCCCCTCCGCAGCAGCCACGGCTCCTTCCACTTCCAGAGCAAAGGTCAGAGGAAGCAGCTCCCACAGAGGCACAATTAAGTCCAGAGTCTCCTAACGTCCATATTTCCGTGATTTATCTCTCCTGTCCCCTGAGAACCAACCCAGAGTGGCCTCCGCTGGGGGAGAGAGAGAGAGATATGAGGGCCCCATGAACATAGTCTGACGAAGGTTCCGGAAGCCAGTGTGACGGGCCAGAGGGCGGGGGGTGGGGGCAGACTAGGAATAGGTGAAGCCAACAGTTGGTCGTGCAGTTAGGAGACAGACCGAGGAGGCCCAGTGAGAACCTCAGCGTGGAGCTGAAACACCGGGCAGTGGGGAGGGTGCAGGGACAGGCCGGCGGGAACCTCCCACCTGCCCTCCCAGACACAATTGTGGCAACCCAGCCACCCTATGAGTGTGGGACACGGGGTCCATCAGAGGCAGAAGGCAGAGGAGAAAGGGGGAGGCTGAAGGATCGCCCCAGGTCACACGGGCTTCAGGGGCGGCTGGGAAGAGGGGACAGTGGTGGAGGGAAGGGCACATGGTGGAAGGGTTGGTGCTGGAGATCCCAGAATGGGGCACCTGAACTTTCACCCTCGCCCAGCAAAAAAAGAGAAATACCCCCCCATACACACATACAGACACATGCACATGCACATACACACACAGGACACACGCACATGCACATACACACAACACACACAGAGACACATGCACATACATACACATACACACGTGGACACACAATATCTATACACATACACACATACACGCACATACACATAACACACAAACATACACACATCTACACATAACATACACACACACACACATAACAAATTGTTGCCTGTAACAAATCATCACAAAGCGCTTTGGAAACCACGATGTTTAAATAAAGTGTGGGGACAAAAAGGAAAAAGAGAGACAGAGGGAAAAGAAAGAAAAAAGAGTCACCCAAGGAAGTCATGCATAAGCGGGGGGGGAGTCGTAAGCGGGGGGGGGGGGGGCGGGGGGGGCGGGGGGAATGGCACGGTTGGCTCGGGGCGGGCAGGAACGGTACAGCTTTTCTGGAAAGTTCAGGCGGTTCTTAAATGTTTCCATCAGGACTGGCGAGGTAGTGCAGGTGTTCTGGTGCTTGCCTGGCACATGGCTGACTTGTCTGAGCCCTAACACTGCCTCCAGCCCCCCCCAAGCCCCGCCAGGAGTGACCCCTAAGTGCAAAACCAGGGCTATAAGTCCCAAGCACCTCCAAGCGTGGCCCCAAACTGAGAATAGTTCAATAAGCACCTGATTTCCTGTGACCCAGCAATAGCACCCCAGACACTTGTACCCGGACAACAAAATCCAAATCCGCACGAAGCCCCCCCCTAGCAAGTGCTCCTGAAGCTTTCCCTGCGGTAGCTGGCCATGGTCCAACCGGGTCCCCCAGCCTTTCAGCCGTGAGGCGCGGCCCCGTGACTGTGTGGTGACCGTGCCCGCTGCCTCCTGGATGAAAGACCCGCTGGCATGGGGCGCTCAGCCCACCTCGATGCTGTCCTTAGGCAGATTTGTGCCCGCCGCTGTCGTCCTGCGTAGTGGTCATCACACACCTGCTCGAAGTCCTCGGAGCTTCACACCGTGATGCCCCTGGGGGCTGCAAACTCGATCTCGGTGGTGTGTGGCCAGGCTGGGGGTTGAATTCACGGCCTCCCGCCCGCGAGGCAGAAGCTCTACCATGGATTCACAGGCCCCTCTGTAAGATCAGAGGATGAGAGTGTTGGGGACCAGGGTCACCATTCCCAGGGGCTGGCGAGCAGGGGTGTGGTCAGAGGGGCAGCAGGCGGGCACCCTGTGTTGCTCAAGACGTTCTGCATCTGGGCTGTATCAGTGGCAAAGCCCTGGTTGTGGTGGCATACCATCGTTTCATGAGATACTGCCATGGAGGAACCTGGCTAAAGGGGACAGAGGGTCTCTGAGCCGGAGGGAGAGGGAGTGACCTGGGTTGGTGCTGATGTGGATAGGATTCATGTAGAGAATCAGACCTGCTGGTACCCCTGAAACTAACCACTATTTTTGTTTTGTTTTGGGGTCACACTCAGTGATGCTCAGGGGTTACTCCTGACTCTGCACTCAGGAATTACCCTTGACACTGCTCGGGGGACCATATGGGGTGCCGGGGATCAAACCAGAGTCAGTGGGGTGCAAGACAAGAGCCACACCCACTCTCCTATCACTCCAGCCCTAGAACTACTTTTATTCGAGAAATCTTGGGGCCAGAGAGATGCATAATCGTGAGGCACTTACCTTGCATGTGACCAACCCGATGTTCTATGCCCGGTGGGTGCACATTGGTCCCCCGAGCGGTGCCAGAAGTGACCCCAAACACTGCCACAAGTGTCCCTGAACAACACCAAATGTGGCCCAAAAGCAAAAAAGAAAAAAATTGTAAATAGAAGCCCTGTTTTCAGAGACAGTCACGTTTTGAGGTACTACAGAGGAGGGAGTTTCACAAATTAGGGGGCACGGGGACACTCAGTCTAGTCCCTCACATGTTCTTCAAGCGTATTGGTGCGTTTGAGGGTCAAATACCAAAGGACAAGGGAAAAAAAAAAAAACTCTTGAACAAATGACAGCACTCTGCAGCTTCGTCATGCTGAAGGGCCATTGTCACATGCGCTGTGCTGTTACCGCGAGTCAGTTGGGGAGGTTGGCACAAAGACCACGGCCTCTCTCAAGCCTGCTGGGCTAGGCTGGACAGCAGAGTTTGCCCAACGCACCACCGTAGCTTTTGAATTTTGTTCCATGCGGGTGTTTAAGTGGCTTGGGTGTTCTAACAAGGGAGTAAAAGACTTATTTTGAGCGGCCGAAGACATAGGACAGTGGGGATGGCACTTAATTAGCACGCAACCGACTCAGGTTTGATCCCCCCAGCATGACATCTGCGCCCTTGCCCCCAGGATCAATCCCTGAGCACAGCCGGGCGTGGCCCCAAAACAAAGCAAAACAAGACAAAAGTCATATTTTGAGTTGAGTCTTGATCTCCAGGCTCTTGTGACTACAGTAACTTGCCGGTCTGGCTCTGCTTGGGCCGCTTGGCAGAACCAACCTGCGGGCAATTCCCTGTGGGCGCAGTGGATGAATGAATGCAGTAAGAGGAATGAGTGAATGAATGTGTGAGATGTGTGAGTGGCTCTGGGGTAGAGCAGCTGCCTGGCATGTCCGAGGCACCGGCTTCGAGCTCCAGCGCCACAGTGAAATATCAGCATGCAGAAACGCGTGACGAGCATCTCAGCGAGTACCTCCCCATGCCCCCCACCCCCCGACCCACCCACCCACCTACCCACCCACGTCTGTCTTTCCCCTTTGACTTGCAGGCGGCAGCAGAGACCCCCAGGAGGAAACAAGCCCCAACAGCACGGCGACCACCAGCCAGGCAGTACCAAACACAGCAGGGACCACCAGAAATCCTACCAGGGGGGCTCGGCCCCCCACTCCTCAGGGAGGCCCACCCATCACGGCTACAGCCAGAACCGCCGCTGGCACCACAGCGGCACCAAGCACCCGCCGGGGGACAAGGGGGAGCCCAGCACCCACCGCCACGCCAAAGAGACCCTGGCCCTGGAGAGCCCCAAGGCCGAGGACGCCCCAGGAGACGCTGGGCCCTGCGGCCTGGAGCCGCCCCACAGTCCCGAGGGCCCGTCTCCCACCCCCTCTGAGCGGCTGCTGCCGCCCCAGCCTGGAGCACCCGAGTCCGAGTCGAAGCGCAGAGACTGTGCGGGCCCCGAGAGGCCCGGGGAGCAGCGCAGGGTCACCCTGCTCCAGTCCTCCAAAGACCGGCTGCAGCGGAGACTCAAGGACAAAGCTCCGGTAAAGGGCTCCCCTCTGGGGCTGGAGCGATAGCACAGCGGGGAGGGTGTTTGCCTTGTACGCAGCCAACCTGGGTTCGATGCGCAGCTTCCCCAGCATCCCATATGGTCCCCTGAGCACCGCCAGGTAATTCCTGAGTGCAGAGCCAGGAGTAACCCCTGTGCATTGCTGGGTGTGACCCAAGAAGCAAAAAAAAAAGGGGGGGGGTGGTCTCTCCTCTTCTCCCCTCTCTCTGGAAGTGGGTCTGGGGGAGGGGCAGGGGGTTAGGGGATCACTCCCTGCCAGTCAGGCCAGCTCCCCCAAACCAAAAGGAGCGGGGAGAGGCATGGGCTAGGGGTGAGGAGGGGTACAGGCAGGGCCTGGTTCTCCTTGTCCCTATGGGCTCAGACTCGCCTGGGGAGAAGCACGGAGCTCTCCCCTAAAGCAGGGCAGAGTTTGGGCAGAGGATGCCAGGCTGCTGTGCCCTCCTTCGGCGGGTGAGGGGGGCAGGGACAGGATTTAAGGCAGGGACAGGATTTAAGGAGGCCCTCCAGCAGTGCCCCCAGTGGCCAGGGACGCATGGCCGGCATGTCCCAGTGCCCAGCTGGAACCCAGCACCACAGGAGCTTCTGGGCACTGCTGGGTTGGCACTGGAGGCCCCTAAGCACTGCCGGGTGGGCCCTGACACCGCTGGCCCTGAGTCACCCACACTGATGGACTCTCGCATGGAAGCGTCGGGCACAGATGGCCACGCGGTACCCGTTGATGCTGGCACCCCCAGGCCTGCTGGGAAGCCCCCCCCCCCCCGCCCCCAAGCTGTCCCCTGGAGACTCCCCTGGAGGGTTATTAAATCAGTCATTTCCGGCTCCACCCACAGGGGGCGCAATGTGGACTTCCGAGTCCAGCAGGTTGGCCAAGCCTGGAGCTGCAAGGTGACCTCGGGCCAATGCCCTGACAACTCTGAGCCACAGTCTTCACACCTGTAAAATGGGTGTGGGGAGGCTGGGGAGAAGCCCAGCAGGCTAAAAGCACAGATGTTACATACAAGAGGATGGCCGTTGAGCTACTCCTGGTTTGGTGCTCAGGGCTCACTCCTGGCTGGGTGCTCAGGGAAAACGCCTGGCTCTGTGCTCAGGGCTGGCTTCTGGCTCAGTGCTCAGGGCTCACTCCTGGTTCTGTGCTCAGGGCTCACTCCTGGCTTAGTGCTCAGGGCTGGCTTCTGGCTCAGTGCTCAGGGCTCACTCCTGGCTCTGTGCTCAGGGAAAACTCCTGACTCAGTGCTCAGAGCTTGCTCCCGGTGGGCTCAGGGAACCATATATAAGTGTTGCCCAGAATTAAGCCCTACGAAGCAAACTGTACTCTGTCCAGCCCCGATGCATTTCTTCCTCCCAGTCTGGTCCCAGTCTCAGTCAAGAGCAGAGGGGCTGCATTTGGTCAGAAACCTCCCCCACCCCCCACCCCCAAAGCACCAGCGCTCCTGGGCCCCGGGGAAGACTCCTGTGCAGTGGTGGGACTGAGTAACACAGTATCCTTAGGACCCAGAACCCGAGCCAGGACACTGCCCCACCCCAGAGAACCCTCCTCGTGGCCCAAGACCAAGTGGCCATTCCCAGGACGGCCTGGGACCCACTCAGAAGGGACCCTCCTGACCCAGACTTCCTGCCCGCATTCTCTCTTCGGGCTGGTAATTCCGTCTTCTCTAAGTCCCCTTCCCGCCTTCCTAGATCGAGCCAGCAGACAGTGCATGCGAGGGTCCGGGGGCAAAGCTAGAACTCTCCAGAAGGATGGGCCCAGGGTGCCACTGAGCCATAAGGAAGTCAGCAGAGAGCCCAAGGGTCCTCGTCGAGGCCGGCATTCCGGAGGGCTGGGGTCCTGTGTCCAAGAAGATGGGGTGGTCCTTGCTGGGGGCCGCGGCCGCACTCAGATGCCCCGCGTGTCTCCCTCAGGCCCAGGAGGAAGTGAGGCTAGAGAGCAGCGCCCCGCAGCCGAACAAGATGGACAAGCTGGCCGAGATCCTCAACAGCATGCGCAACAACAGCAGCGACGTGGACGCCAAGCTCAGCACGTTCATGGAGGAGGCCCAGAGCTCCACCAACTCCGAGGAGATGCTGGGCGACATGGTGCGCGCCATCTACCAGAAGGCCGTGTCCGACCGCAGCTTCGCCTTCACCGCCGCCAAGCTCTGCGACAAGATGGCGCTCTTCATGGTGGAGGGGACCAAGTTCCGCAGCCTGCTTCTCAACATGCTCCAGGTAACCGCCGGCATCTGGCCCACCCGCCTCCCACACACGCACACGCACACGCACACGCACAGACACACACACGGACACATGCACACATGCACGCACAACACAAGCACATGCGCGCACACACGTACACACGACACATGCACAGACACATACACACACATGAGCAGACACACACATGACACAAGCACACGTGCGCACACATGTACACACGTATACAATCAGACACAGACATGCACGTGCACACATACACACGGACAGACACACACGGACACAAGCACACACATGCACATGCACACGTACACATGTACACGCACATGCACGCATACACACGTGCACGCACGCACTCACACGCACACACGTACAGGCACGCACGCACGTGTGTACATGACACATGCACACACACACAAGTACATGCACACGCAGATACAGACACGCACATGCACACACAGACGCAGACGTGTGCGTGCGCACACACGCGACTAATACAAGCTCACATATGTACGCACATACACTGACACACACATATATGCACTCACAGACACATGCACACACACACACACAAACATGCATACGTGCACAGAGGTGCCCCCACCTGCCTCCAGGCCGGGCCTATCACAGGGACTCTCCTGGGTTCACCCTTGCCCCATTAATTACGGAAGGGAGAAAGGGCCCCCCAGGCCCTGGGGGAGCGGCCGGCCCTGCTGTGTGTGTTTGTGTGGTGCCATGGTTACAGTGCAGCCATATAATTTTATAGGTTCTTAGTGTTTAACCAGCCTTTCCCTCTTTCTGTTTCCATGATAAGAGCCTTCGCTGGCCCTTGGCCTTCCCCAGGCTCTGGGCTTTGACCTCCCTTCCTCCTCTTCCTCTTCCTCCTCCTCCTCCTCCTCCTCCTCCTCCCACCAGCATGTCCCCCGTGAGGTGACGCCATCCGGCATAGCTGTTGCTAAGCTGGGTCAGAGCAGGGCAGGGCTTCCAGGGGGAAAGAAACTCTCCACTGCCCTCCCTGAAATCACTTCCGGGGCCAGGATTGCTTCTAGGTGGCTCCTGCTTCACGTTCTGGCCTTGTGGGGCTCCTTCCACCTTCCTCTCCCCACCCCCATCTCCCATGGCCGGTTTCCCCAGCGTGAGCAGGGGATGGACAAGTGAGGCCCAGGCCGTTTGCCAACCACTCACTGCCCTGGCCAGTAATCTGAGGGTCCAGACCAGGTAGCAGGGTAGTGTCTGCACATTGACTGGTGGCCGCAAGTCCCCCCCCACCCCCCCACCCCGGCCCCTCGCTCCCACCAGGGAACCTCACCTCTGCTGACTTGGTACATCACGGGAGTTATCATGCAAATTGAGTTTCCGGTTCAGGGCCTGCGGGATGGGTTCTGGGGAGTTGGAGCTGCTGGAGCCCCTGCGGGTCTGTCTAGACATGGGGCCATCTGGAGCCCCAGGGGGCGCTATTCATCACTGGCCCTCCCTGCCAGCCAGGAGAATCCCCCTCGGGGCTCTCTGCGCCCGCTCTCTGTAACCCGAGCTGGTGCTGGCCAGCCCCCTGCTCGGCGGTCAGGTTCCCGTTCCTGGATGGCCCGAGCTCCCCTGGTGACGAATTCCCGCATTACCTGAGGGATTTGCACATCGGGCTTGTTCCTCACGGCCCCGGAATGTCCTGGGGTGGGGCGGTTTGTCGGCCCTGGTCAGCCAAGCCTGGGGGAGTTGTCAGGGACAGGATCAGCCTTTGGCCAGGGCTCCGGATTCATTTTTTTTCTTTTTCCCCTGAGAAGAGCCAGGATAGGGCAAGATTTCTAGACTGTGGCTAAAACCCACAGGGAGCCCAGCCAGGGCCCCAGGCAGGACGCACCCAGCGGCAAGGGCAGCTGGCAGGGGGCGCTGCCCAGGGTTCGGCCGGGTCAGGCTTTTTTTTCTGCATGGAGAGCCGCCTGGCCCACCGAATTCCGATCGAACGTCCGACCCAGGCGGGATTCAGGGCACTCTCCATCTACCACCCCGCACTCTGGGCACGCAGGAAGGGACACAGAGAACTGCCAGGGCCCCGGGGGACACGGAATGCAGGAGGAAGTAAAGGGACACAGACAGACCCCCACGAGGTCCTCGTGGCCCCTTGGGATTCTGTCTCTGCAGTTCCTGCTGGTGGCCAGCCACCCTCCGGAGACCCTAGCACACAGGACCCCTGAATGAATGATCATGACCATGGGTCGGGTGGGAACTTGTGCGGCTGCTAAACCCAGAGGCGTGGGGGAACGCGGGGGTGGGGGGAGTTGGGGGGACCCAGCATGGATGTTTCTTCCCCGCGTTGGGGCAAACAGCCTTGTCCCCACTCAGTAGCAAAGTCAGGCCCCGTCACTGGGCTGCCCGGCACCCCGAGTTGGCCGGGCTTCCTGGCACCGTCTCACCCCCTCCCGTCTCATGTCTCACTCCCTGCCCCGGGTTCAAGCCTCTCCCGGGACCGTCAGCTCTTTAGCTGGTAAAGGTAAAAGTAAAGGCCCTCCCGTTGATCATCGATTTGCTCGAGCGGGCCCAGTAACGTCTCCATTGGAGACTTTGTTTTTACTGTGTCTGGCATATCGAATACTCTCGGTAGCTTGCCGGGCTCTCCGAGAGGGGCAGAGAAATCGAACTCGGGTCGGCCGTGTTGGCCGCTTATAAGGCGAACGCCCTACCCGCTGTGCTTCAGGCCCAGTGAGCGTTGCGAGCAGCATTGGCGGCAGCAGAGAGCAAGCCGTCGGCATCCGACTCGGTGCTCTCCAGGCGTCCATTGTGTGGGGCGATGAGGAAGGACCCGCAGCGTGACCTCTGGGGGCCAGGAGGAACTGTCCCTGACCCCCTTCCCTCCTGCCCTCCTTTCCTGGCCTCCGAAGCTCCCCATGGCTGTGTCTGTCCACCCCCGGCCCCCTCCCTCCCACACCCTCAGCCAGCCATTGTTGGGCACCTCTCATGACCAGTGAGAGTATCTGTCATCCCACACGTGTCCCAGGATCTGGTTTGGTGACACTGACAGTGGCGTGGCCAGAGTGGGAGTCATCCCTGGTCACGGCTCCAGCAGCTGCTGGGGTCAGAGGGGCAGGTACAGGGTGACTGAGGGGTGAGGATGCCAGCCCAGAGAAGGCCTCTCCAGGGGCCATTAGCTTTCCCAGCCCAACACAGCAGTGGCGTCCCCCAGGAATTCGGGCCAGTGACTCAGAGGAGCCCTCTCCACACGCCCCAGCTCAGAAGTGTCCTCGGTTACCATGTCCCCAGTGAGTCCTCCTACCTTCGATGGGAGCGATTTGTGGTTTTTTTTTTTCCTTTTTGGGTCACACCGGCATTGCACAGGGGTTATTCCTGGCTCATGCACTCAGGAATTACTCCTGGCGGTGCTGGGGGACCATATGGGATGCTGGGAATTGAACCTGGGTCAGCCTTGTGCAAGGCGAACGCCCTACCTGCTGTGCTATCGATCCAGCCCCCAGGATCCTTTTCTTTTTTTCTTCTTGGTTTTTGGGTCACACCCAGCGATGCTTAGGGGTTACTCCTGGCTCTGCACTCAGGAATTACTCCTGGCGGTGCTGGGGGGACCATATAGGATACCAGGGCTAGAACCCGGGTCAGCTGCGTGCAAGGCAAATGTCCCTACCTGCTGTACTATTGCTCCGGCCCCTGATGTGATCCTTTTTTCTTTTCTTTCTCCCTGTGCTATAAGGGTTTGGTTTTTGGACCATATCCAGCACTTGGTCAGGGCTCACTCCTGGCGGAGCTCAGAGGACCATATGGGGTGCCAGGAATCAAACCCATGCCAGCCACATGCAAGGCCAGCGCCCTACCCACTCTATCTCCAGCCCATTTTGGGGGTGTTTTTTTTTTTTCATTTTTGAGTTTTATTTTTGGATGCTCACACTTTTGAGTCGCAAGTCAGTAGATGACCGATAGGTTGTAAGCATTGGGACAGCGGTGTCGAAGGGTAAACTGAGGCATGGTCTTGTGGTTGTAGGCGGGTAAGCCGGTGTGACTGTTCGCAGCAGGGTAAACTAAGGCAAGGTCTTTCTCAGTGTGATTTTCCACATGCGGATCCAGCTTGCGAAGGTCGCATTTAGGGCACTGCTGGGCCTCAGCCTCGCCGCCCACTGGGCTCCCGAGGGGAGCAGCATCCCCCTCGCGCCTCGACGCTCCTGACAGGAGCCTGACAGAGCTTTTGTGCAGAGCTCTGCCGGGTGCACTGAGGAAGTGGTCCCAGAGCCTCCTCAGACGTCCCTGATGGCCCGCGCCCTGGCACCAACCCCACCCCCTGGACCCGGTGTGGCGCCATCCATCCCTTCCTTGGGCCTGGCCTCAGTTTCTCCTCTGGGCTGAGAGGAAGTTGCTGCTTTCTCACTCTTGGTCCGGAGCTGCCCCGTCTCTGTCCTCGGCACCTCCGCGTCCTTCTCCTGCTTGGCCCTGACACTCGCAACGGCAGATCTGAGGGAACGGGAACTCGCTCTCAAGCCGCAATGCACCTCCCCTATGCCCCGCCTGGCCCAGTCCAGCCCAGCTAACAGAGAAGGCCCACGACACCCATCCCCATCTCCTCAGTCAGGTTTGCAGGCTCCACGTCCACTGGCCACCTCCAGACAGATGGGTTTTGTGTGTCTGTGTGTGTGTGTGTGTTTGGGGTCACACCCGGCGATGCTCAGGGGTTCCTCCTGGCTCTGCACTCAGGAATTAGCCCTGGCGGTGCTCAGGGGACCATATGAGATACTGGGAATCGAACCCAGGTCAGCCGCGTGCAAGGAAAATGCCCTACACGCTGACTGTGCTATCGCTCCAGCCCCTGGACAGAGGCTTTCTGACACGTTTGCAGGACAGGGAGGGCTGCCTGGCTTCCAGAGGCTTCCAGAGGCCACCCCAGACCTGACCCTCCCACCTGCTGTGGGCGTGAGTGGGGAAGCGCTCTGGCTTTACACGAGGGAAAGGGGAGAGTCTAGTAGCGGGGCCATCAGAACAACAGGAACTGGCATGCGGAGCCGCCTCCGCCGGCCTGGGGGGGC